GAAGCGTTGAATAAGTAAGCCTTGAACCACCTTGCGCTGGTATGTGAGGGCAAAGTAAGTTGATTAAAACAGGCAAGTACAAAGATTTATATAAGAGTACAAGGAATACGAATAGATGTAATCAAACTACCTTGCTGTTGCGATTCGATACAGTGCGACTCGGGCAACTGCTCAATGTCGAGTCAGTTGTGTGTCCTTGCTGTCGCGCTGTATTGGTCAAGTCAAAGGTCGCTGACCTTTGACCTTCCCGTAACCTTCAGGCGGTTACCCTAACCTCCGAGGGTTGACTCGCGATGCTTCAATTTGGACTGCTTCGCTTTGTGTCCTGAGTTTCGACACGACAGAGGCGCTTAAGACTTATTGTTCCCAACAGCATCAACATCATAAAAAATCTATGCCCTCCCTGGCACCAGGCATCAACTTGATCAGCTGCTTTGTGCTATGACGAATCATCCTTTGACGAATCATGCATAGCCCCTATATCTCTTGTAAGATCTACAACACTTTTCCCGCTCAGGTAGTGTGTTCGGCACACTGGCATGTACGTCTCTGCGCCGCCCACCAGCCGCAGCTTCGTCTCCTGCGTCTTCCGCAGAGTGAACGACGCAGGCCGCCCACACATCTCGCACCGGGCGGCAAGCTTTGTCACGGAGTCGGCGTGCGGAATCAGATCCAACAACTCGCCAAAGCGCTTTCTGTAAGGCAAGGAAGAGATAAAAAAAGGGCATAGACTTTCTGATGAACTGAAGTGTGTAACGGGCGAATGATTTGGTGTGAGATGGGATGTGGAGAGATGGACTAGAGGGGTAATGGGGTTAAATGATGGGGACGACACACGGAGGCTAGCAGTTGGATATAAAAAGATGCACATGTACATGTGGTTAGGAAGAACGGCAGAGAAAAGACAACGGGTGAGTTAGCATGCCACCCCACCCACACCACCGTGCACCACTGCACACCAGACCACACACACACCACACACCACACCACACACCGTAAACCACACACCACACACCACACCACACACCGCACAGCACACACCACAGCACCGCACATCATCGCATACCACCATGTAGCACACCACTCAACACACACCTCCGAAAGTCTCCGTCCAGCCCTGCGATGAACAGTGTCTTGCCGTCATGGTCTGCCGCCCGCAAGGAGAACTCCACCAGCCCGTGAATGAACTGCGCCTCGTCCACCCCTATCACCGATGCCTGCAGAGGCAGGCAGGTAAGACACAGGGTGGAGAGGAGAGGCGAGGACAGAGGAGAGGCGAGGACAGAGGTGAGGGGCTGCTTTATAGGCGCCACTCCACCAGCCCGTGAATGATGGTGGAGTGGTTCATTCAATGAACCACACCTCGTCCACCCCTATCACTGCTGCCTGGGGGATAGGGAGGAGGGGGAGGGGTGGGGGGTGGGGGAAGGGGGTAGGTGGACAGAGAGGACATTTTTTAAGACTCCACCAGCCCGTGAATGAATTGCGCCTCGTCCACCCCTATCACTGGCGCCTGGGGGATGGGATGGGGTGGGGTGAAGGAGAGGAGAGCATGGGGAGGGGACACAGGAGGGAGAGGGGAGGAGAGGGAGAGCTTGCGTTGTCTGCTGGCACCTCCAGCAGCTGGACCACGAGGCAAGGCAACTTGCTGCCCGTACGCTTCTCGGTGCGGCATCTCCTCTGAAAACACTTCCAGCAGGGAGCGCACAGCGAGGCAGGCCATGGCGGCGCCGTCATGTGACAGCACCTCACAGCACCTCACAGCACCTCACGGCACCGCACGGCACCTCCCCCTGTCCAGCACAGCATCTCACCTGCTCGTAGGCTTCTCGAATTGCACCCTCCTCTGCCAACACCTCCAGCAGGCTCCTGACAGCAAGGCACGTCATGGCGGCGCCGTCATGAGACACCACCGCGTCCCGCGCGTACCTGAAGAAACACAGTACCGCACTCAACCCTTTTGTCAGCATCTTACCTGCTCGTAGGCTTCTCGATGTGCACCCCCCACTGAAAGCACTTCCAGCAGGGAGCGCACAGCAAGGCACGGCATGGCGGCGCCGTCGTGCGACACCACTGCGTCCCGCGCGTACCGCGTGTCGGCCTTTGACTTCACCACCACCACACGCCTGCAGGGTTTGGGTTTAAGAGTTCAGGTTTGTGGTTCCAGTCATCTGCGTCCCGCGCGTACCGCGTGGCAACCTTTGACTTCACCACCACTACACGCCTGCAGTGCTGTGAGAACGGAATCTGGGGTTTGGATGTTGAAGGTTTTGGTGTTGGATTGTTTGAGTGTTTGGGGTCTGAGGCACGGCCTTGTGTGTATCATGTGTCGCACGCCACTTCAGCACCGCCACGTGCTTGCTACGCCACGCGCTCACACGTTGGGGTTGCAAGATTTGGCAGTTCGAATGCAAGGGTTTGGGTTTCTGGTCTCGGGTTTCAGACGCTTCGAACTGCCACGCCCAATCTCTCACCTGCCGCGCCCAATCTCTCACCTGCCGCGCCCAATCTCTCACCTGCTGCGCCCAATCTCTCATCTTCTTCGCCCCATCTCTCACCTGCCGCGTCCCATCTCTCACCTGCCGCGCCCCATCTCTCACCTGCCGCGCCCCATCTCTTCGTGCATGCGCGCCAGCAGCGCCGTCGTCTTCCCCGCGAACATCGGCCCCGTGATCACGTGGATCGCCCCGCTACCCCGCGCTCCTTGCGCCTCTGCCCCTTCCCCTTCCGCCTGCGCCCCCCCGGGTGCTTCCCCCTCGGGTACTGCTGGGCCCGTTACAGTCGCGCCCTCCGCGGTAACAGCACTGCTACCCGTTACTGGCGCATCCGCTACAGGCGCGCCGGAAGCAGCGCCAGCAGCAGCCGTGCGCGTTCGCCGGCGGGTCGCGGGCTTGGCATTGGGGGTAGCTTGAGAGTCGGCGGAAGCGGAAGTAACGGCTTGCGGCCGAAGGCGGGCGGAGGGTTTAACACGGGGAGTCTGACTGTCGCGGTCGCTAGTAGCACCTTTTCGTGCGTTCCCTGAAGACGCGGCGGAATTGCCGGCGCTCGGTCGACCTGCAACAGCTGCTGGGCGCGTGCTTATTTGCCGCGGGAAACCAGAGGACAGAGAAAGCAGCGGATCGGTTGGGATCGGTGACGGAGGTGATCGCCAGCTTGTCGTAGAGAGTCGCAGGGGGACGTGCGAAAAGAGGATCATTTGAAGCCGCGCGCAGGATGAGAGCGCGCGGCAGGAAAGCATTGTCGCTGCAATCGCTTAACGCTCGCCACTTGGTGTCGTTAACGAAAAACAGTGCTGACGAAAACGCGCGACTTTCGCGAACGTCGCAACGACAGCGGGCGGCAGTCGCACAGATAGAGCTACGGGCGGGCGACGGGTAAGAAACGGATCAAGAATCCGCTGCTAAGGGCACCAAGGTGATATTCTTTTAAAAATCAATGCTAATGGCGGCAACAAGCCCTGGATAGTGCAAGCTCGTAAGAAGTTGATTGCATTGCGCCGCGCTTCGGTAGCGAGAAGCTTGCTCGGATCGACTCAAGCCCGCTACAGGATATGAGAGGAATGCAGTGTTTCAGGTTGGACTGGTTGCAGTTTTTACGCGATTTGGTGCGGTTTAGCACGGTATATGTCTGCGATTCGAGCCTGTTATAGAACGGTGGAGTAAGATGCTCGGCAGTGCACTGCGGTGTAAACCACGCACTGACTCGCATCAATAGTCAGAAAAGTGCGGGAAATATGCAAAGCACAAATATCTGGTGTGTTTGTGGATATTTCTGAGTGAGGGCGCATTCTAGATGACCTGAGTACCGTGTTCAGGGTACCAGAAGGAACCGAACATCGTAGTGTTCTCGCACTACGCAGTGGTGGTAACTGCAATGAAATTGTATTCCGAAAGTGAAGGCTGTCCTGCTGCCTTTGTACCCCCTCAGCAGCACTCACCCAGGGTCCATCCCAGATGTCTACTATGTTGGACATACGATATGGATGTCCGTCCATCCCGCTTTCAGCACAACCACGCTCTATGCCATTCCGATGATTCTGATCTGAACCATTGATGAGGATCGGCGTGGGCGTCGCTCGTCGCTCGTCGCGTTCAGCAACTGGCCTTGCTCTTTCCAGAATGTGCGTTTGACGACGCTGTGCTACGCTAGCTGAGACTTAGTGGACTAGCTGCCTGCCCGGGAATACGAATAACATATCCCGAAGCTTTGATATTCACGGGAGCAGGCGAGGGGCTCTTTGAAAGTCCTTCTCGCCGCAACGCGTCGTTCCTATGGCAGCTTCCGCTCACTCGCAATGCGTCGCGGTATCGAATTCCCGCGTCGGCAATATTTTTTCCGTCATCACCCCGTCGTGTCTCGCATCAGGATCCCCTCAGCTCCCCTCCTCCTGCGTCTCTTTCCGCTCTCTCCCCCTCATCTCCCTCCCTCTTCTCCCCTCGCTCCGCGTCCCTTCCGCCGCTCAAAGCGCGCTTCCGCGTTCCGCGCAAATTAAGCTGTGTATAAGCAGCGCGGGGAAGGGTGCATTTCTAAGGCACGAATGGAATGGACTTCGGAGTAAGGGACTGGGGGAAAGGGGGGGATGGCGGAGGGCGCAAGGATTAGGGTTTTCAACGCCGAAGGCGAGTGGGGGGGGTGGCGCGGGCGCGCATTTCTCGCGGTCGGCGGAAAACATGAGGGAAAATTCCAGTATGAGGGGCATACGGGGGAGAGCAGAGCGAAATGATAAGGGGAAGGGGAAGCGGGGAGGTGGGGTACGCGGAAACGGCGGAGTTGGTAGCGAATCAGTTGATAACGGATCGAACAGCTGGAGATCCCAAGGCTGGGACGACGAAACAAGCAAATATGGAGGCGCCTACAACTCATCGAGTGCTTATAACGGAGGCGGTTACAGCGAGGACGAGCGGAATGTGACTAGAACGGTGGACCAACTGATGGAGCGATTCGAGTCGCTTCAGCAGCAGAGAGAGCGGGGCGCAGGTGGCGCCGCGATTGGCGGAGGCATGACGCGATTCGAGATGGATGATGACGAGGTGGAGGAGGAGGGGGGCGGGGAGGATCTGGAGGAGCTAGAGGAGGGGGTGCTGGATGTGATTGTAGGGGAGAGTGACTATGAAGACGAGGAGGAGGAAGAGGAAGAGGAGGAAGAGGAGGAGGAAGAGGAGGAGGAGGAGGAGGAGGAGGAGGGAGGGGAGGGGATGGGGATGGAGGGGATGAGCATGAGCGAGAGAGTGCATCAGCTGCAGATGCGAGTGCAGCAAGCTCAGTATGCCACCGCTGCTGGTGCTGGTGCAGGTGGTGGTGCGGTGATCACGGCTCGTGATCTGGCCAGGCTGTTCGACCACCCCATTGACAAGTTCCAGGTGAATGGTGCCAGCCGTTGGATCCTTCTCTAGATGATCACAGCCGTTGGGCCATGTGTACCCTCCTCCTGTCCTTGCGTCCTTGCCGCCCTGCAAGAAACTACTGCCGTGCGTGCGGCACTCTTGTCCGACCCTCCTCAACCTTCATGGGCTGCCGTGCCACACTTGTAGTGCCGAACGCATTCCGGCATCTCACTTCCCCTCCTTCGTTTCCGCTTCTCTGCTGATACCCATTGGAATACTTTCCAGCCTACCCTGGCTGGTGTCTGTTCACCTCTCAACTCTGACCCAAACCCTTTTCTCACACCCGTGTCCCCCAATCTCACCTTAAACCCTCAACCCTGATTCAATCACCCAATCCCGTCTATAGAGCCTAACCCTCCCGCCTCTCCCCCATCCCCACACCTCCCTCTCCCTCCTGCGGCGAGTGAAGATAGAGGCGTTTCTGCGGGGCTCATCAGTGGTGGTGAGTGCGCCCACCCGCAGTGGCAAGACACTTGTGGGGGATTCAGCGGCAGCACTGGCCGCAACCAATCCTGATTCTCTATCTCTTGAACCCCCATCCCTTCCTTTCCAACAGCAAGTGGCGATAGAGGCATTCCTGCGGAGATCGTCAGTGGTGGTGTGTGCGCCGACCAGCAGCGGAAAGACAAGCAATGCAAGACGCCTGATTCCCCACTTCCCAAATTTCCCAAATTCACTGTCCCCTCCTCCTGCTCCTCTTTCCCCCCCCGCCTTCTTCCCCACAGAGAGTGGCGATAGAGGCATTCCTGCGAGGCTCCTCGGTGGTGGTGTGTGCGCCAACCAGCAGCGGCAAGACACTCGTAGGGGAGGCAGCAGCAGCAGCCACGATGGCGAGGGGAGGGCGCCTCATCTACACCACGCCGCTCAAAGCCCTCTCCAACCAGAAGCTGAGAGACTTCAGGTGCACTTCTCCTTGCTATTTCGTCCTCCTTTGCTATTGTGGCCAGCTCTCCCATTCGGTGCGCTTCGAGAAGGAAAGGAAGCAACGCTACCACAAGCAGTAGCAATGCCATTCAGTTTCCTCCTTCCTTTTCTTTTTTTTCTTCCTTCCTTTTGCATCACAAGCCTGCTTCCGCACTGTCCACATGCTTCAACCAATGCTGATCTGCCACGTGGCATGGCAGGGTGAAGTTTGGGGAGGGCAACGTGGGGCTGCTGACTGGTGACGTGGCAGTGAACAGAGATGCGCCCATCCTCGTCATGACCACTGAGATCCTGCGCAACATGCTCTACACCAGGTGGGGTTTGTGACTAACGCGAGATGCTGGTGTGTGACTATAGTGGCTGTGCGACAACAGGTGGTGTGTGTGACTACAGTGCTCCACACCAGGTCCAGGTGTGTTACCTTAAGGGAGTGAGATTCGAGAAAAACTACTTCAGGTGTGTCATGTGATGTGACTATAGTGGAATGGAACGTCGGTTATCCCCCTCCTTCCGTTCTCCCCTTCCTCCTCTCCTTTAATCTCCTCCCGTTGTATAAACAAAGTGCACTGCCTCTCACCCGCTCCATTCCTCCTTCCCACCCCTCTTCCAACCACACCCCTATCCCCCCCTTCGTCTCTCCCCTTTGCCAGCATGGGAGCGGGGGAGGCGGAGGAGGAGAGGCTGAGGGGAGTGGAGGCGGTGGTGTTGGACGAGGTGCACTACCTCTCTGATATCTCCATACCTTTCTCCATCCATTCCCGCCGCTCTCTGCCCCTCTCCCTCCTCTGCAAAAGGACCCCCGCTTTTCTTCCCACCCCCTTCGTCTCCCCTTCCCCTCTCCCCCCACCCTTCCCCCCACCCCAAACACCCCTCCCTCCGTCACTTCTTCACTTCTGACAGCATGGGCGCGGGCGAGGCAGAGGAGGAGAGGCTGAGGGGCGTGGAAGCAGTGGTGTTGGACGAGGTGCACTACCTCTCTGATATCTCAAGGGGGACTGTGTGGGAGGAGACGGTGAGTGAGAGGGATGGGCTGGCTGGTGGTGGGGAATGGGTATCACAGCTCACATCACACCAGTGATGCTGCACGAGGTGCATTACAGCTGTGAGCCGTGATACCAGTCTGACTTCTCCAGAGGCACTGTGTGGGAGGAGACGGTGAGTGGGGGGAGGGGCTGGCTGGCAGGGATTGATTTCACTCAGCCAAATTATACTTCACCTTATGTTCGGCCTGACTGTAGGACAAGCCGTATACAGAATCAGTGATTCTGTTTTACGATGCCAGTTATTTTGACGTCCTCGTGGTAAGATGTAATACATGATTGTCTAAATATATCATATATTACATCTTACCGCGAGGACGTCGAAGTGACTGCCATCGCTAACTTAGAATCACTGATTCTGTATACGGTTTGTCTTGTTACCAGATCCAGCATGGTTCTCCCTTATGCACCCCACCCTCTCCTCCCTGAGTGCGCTGCGAGCGAGCACCAATGCCAAGCAGTGATCACCCAGGTGATTTACTGCTCCAAGGCCATTCAGCTCTTGTGCCTGCCTCTTGAGAGACGCGACGTAATTCTCCTCCTACCCACCCACCCACCCACACCATCCACCTACCCCTCCCTCACTGCGCTCATGAAGGCCTGTTTGGCCGAAACGCGTTGGCACGCACATCCCAGGCAGTGTTTTGTCGTACCAATTGACTTTCTAAGTCTTTCTTCTGCTCGCTGTTGTTCACCTAGTTAGATCCATGTATATCGATATCACCATGTAGATCTACGCACGAGCGAGCTCGGTTCGCTTGCTGCGTTCGAATCTGCCCCTATACAACGTCTCTTGGGAGAGACGTGACAGAATTCTCTCCTACCCACCCACACCACCCACCTCCCCCCTCCCTCTCTTCCTGTCTCTGCTACCTGCAGGTGATCTACTGCCCCAAGTCCATCCAGCTAGTGTGCCTCTCCGCCACGGTCGCCAACCCTGATGAGCTTGCAGACTGGATTGGCAGGGTGAGTGAGTGAGAGAGAGAGAGTTCTTAGTCTGCAAGCCATCACGTTGTTCTGTCTCACTGCTCGCTCTTCTCCCTCCTCCCTTCCCTGGGTCCTTCTCGCCTAGGATTCGTCTGAAGATGGCACCGCCCCTTACAACAACATTGCTGCTCTCAACCGTGCAGCACCTCTACATCCCTCCACCCCACTTCTTCCTTGCCCCCGCCTTGCTGACTTTGATGTTTCTCCTCGTGTCCTCCTGCCCTCTGCCCCTCTGCCAGTCAGCATCCTCTCTGTTAGCATATCCTCTGTGCATGCGTTAACTTTCTAGTCCACTAAATAATCGACTTATGACATGGGTTGCATTGCATCGGTGCTTGCATCAGCGGAGGAGGAAGGGCACACTGCCGGCCATCTGGTTCATCTGGCCATCCGGCCAATCGATTTCATCCATCTCGCCCAGCAGCCCCCTCAGCGACTTACTCGTTCCATGATCCATCTCCCGTTGCCATTTTCCGTTCCCGCCCACTCGCCTGCTTGCCCCACTGCCATCAGGTGCACGGGCGCACGGAGCTCGTCACCTCACAGCACCGCCCGGTACCGCTCAAGTGGCACTTCTCCACGCGCTTCCGCATGCTGCCTCTCCTTGACAACTGCGGCCGTGACATCAACCCGTACGCATGCACACACTCTCACACACTCGCACACACTCACACGCTCGCACACACTCACACACTCGCACACACTCACACACTCGCACACACTCACACACTCGCACACACTCACACACACTCGCACACACTCGCACACACTCACACACACTCGCACACACTCGCACACACTCGCACACACTCGCACACACTCGCACACTCTCGCACACACTCGCACACACTCGCACACACTCGCACACACTCGCACACACTCGCACACACTCGCACACTCGCACACACTCGCACACACTCGCACACACTCACACTTGCTTCTCTCCTTCCCTTCCCACCGCATGCTGCCTCTCTTCGACAACCGCGGCCGAGACATCAGCCCGTATGCCCTAGCACTCGCTTCTCTCCTTCCCCCACCTCCCCTCCCCCTCTCCCCCCCCACTCTTCTCCCTTTCAATGGTCCTCTCCTCTTTCCCCCCCTCTTCCTCTCCCTCCCTTAACTCTCCCTCTCCAACCATCTGTCCTCGTTATCCTTCCTCCCCTGTTTTTGCTTTGTTTCGTCCCACTCCTCTGCACGTTCTTGCTGCTGTTTCCCTCCCGTTCTCCCTTCCCCCTCCCCTTTGTTCCCCCACATCTCCACACCTTCTCTTCCCCCGCCCCCCAACACCCCCCAACACCCCCCAATCCCCCAACTTTTCCCCAACCGCCCAGCACCCTTCGTAACTCTTCCCCTACCTTCCCCCGACCCTCCTCCAAACATCCCTCTAATCCTCTGCCAGTCAGCTGCTGCTGCGCCCTTCTGGTGACCCGTTATTGGAGGAGCTGCAGTCCGGTAGGATGCTGCCACGTGGCAGTGGCAGATCCTTCCAACGGTGGGATGCAGACGACCAAAGCAGCAGCGGCGGCAGTGGCAAGCGAGGGAAGGAATCTAAGGGTTTCGCAGGGAGAGCAGACAGAGACGCAGGGAGAGGAGGGAAAAAGGGCAGCAAGAATGGGAAGGGGATCGCAGCAGCTTTGTCTCGTAGTGGGGGAGGGTTAGCTGAGCTGGTGGGGAGGGGGCGGCGGGGGGAGGCGAAGAACCGAGTAGAGGAGCTGTCGGCGCAGCAGGTGCAGCAGCAGTGGCGGCGGCAGGTGCCGCGGGTGAGAGACACTCTGGAGCAGCTGAGGAAGAAGGACATGCTCCCCGCCATCTGGTTCATCTTTAGTCGGCGAGGGTGCGACACGGCTGTGTCTTTTGTTCGGGATACCAACCTGCTGTCTCCCAGTGAACAGGTGCGGGGGAGGGAAGGGAAGTAGGGAGAGGAGTGAGTTGGCTGGTCTGCGAGACGGCTGGTGAGTGAGTGAGTGCGAGGGGAGGAGAGGGACATGCTGCCAGCCATCTGGTTCATCTTAAGTCGCTGCGGGTGAACAACCCCAAAGAAGTAATGCTGTTGTAAGATGCGGCTGTAAGCTTCGTGAGGGATACCAACCTGCTGTCGCCCAGTGAACAGGCGAGGGAGGGAGTGCGGGGAGAGGGTGTGTGCAGGGGAGAAGGAGATGCGGGAATATGCGCATTTGAGGCTGCAGGCACAGGCAGCATGATCATGAGTCCCGCCTGCCTGTTGCCCATCCGCCCCTCTTTCCCCTCTCCACGTCCCCTCCCTTTTCCCTGTTCCCACAGGCAGAGGTGACAGAAGCCATAGCGGCGTTGAGGCAGCAGCAGCCGGAGGCAGTGAGGGAGGGGGCGGTGGAGGCGCTAAAGAAGGGAGTGGCGGCGCACCATGCGGGGTGCCTGCCTCCCTGGAAGGGGTTTGTGGAGGACCTCTTTCAACGCGGGCTCGTCAAGGTGCGCGGTTCTGAGAGGTGATGTGCAGTGATGTGCGGTGATGTGTGGTGCACGTGGGTGTGCGTTGTGACTCTCTCATATCTCCTACTTCCTCGCTCCTCCTCTGTCGGCGGCCATCAACAACAACATGTCTGCTTGCTCGTATCGCACCAGCGTCCTCTCTGCTCCTCCCCTCTCTCCTCCCCAAACCGCGTCTCAACTCACTGTTCCGTCAGTCATTCCCCCCTCTGCCCTTCTTCCCACCAGGTGGTATTCGCCACAGAGACACTGTCAGCGGGTATCAACATGCCAGCTCGCACCACTGTGCTCTCTCCCCCTCCCCTCTCCACCCCTCCTCTCTCTGCCCCTCACGCCACTTCTAATCCCTTTGTTCTCTCCCTCCCTCCTCTTTCCGTCCTCCCACCAGGTGGTGTTCGCAACAGAGACACTGTCAGCGGGCATCAACATGCCTGCGCGCACCACCGTGCTCTCGGCACTCTCCAAGCATCTGGGCGGGTAGGGATGCATGTTGGTGTGTGTGATAGGTAGAGGTGTGATGGTCTGTGCTGGTGTCTGTGGCGGTATGTGTGGTGCTATCTGCATTGTTATCTGTTGTTGCTATCCACTATCGGCTGGTGACAACTTGTCATATTCCCGTTCCCGCGTCTTCCGTCACCTTCCCCTTCCGCTCCCCCTCACCTCGTGCACAGGGGCAACGCGGGTCGAAGTCTCCTGTCAGCCAACGCGCTGCTACAGATGGCGGGGAGGGCGGGGAGGCGGGGCAAGGACAAGCAAGGACATGTGGTGGTGGTGCAGACGCCCTTTGAGGGCGCGCAGGACTGCTGCCGCCTGCTGCTTGGTGGAGCTGACCCCCTCGTTTCTCAGTTCACAGCCACCTATGGCATGGCGCTCAACCTGCTGGGGGTGAGTCAAGTGAAGTTGCCTGTGGTGTGGTGTGGCGCTCACATGACCTTAGAGCAGGCAAGGGCACGTGGTGTGGTGGTGGTGCAGTGCAGACGCCATTTGAGGGCGCTCAGGACTGCTGCCGCGTGCTGCTGGGGGGGCTGACCCCCTCGAGTTGCAGTTCATCGCCACTTACGGCATGGCGCTCAACCTGCTGGGGGTGAGTTTGATGGGGTTGGGTCACTCAGTGTGGTTGCACGTGTATAGAGTCACTTAGTGTGGTTGCACGTGTATAGAGTCACTCAGTGTGGTCGCACGTGTATAGAGTCACTCAGTGTGGTTGCACGTGTATAGAGTCACTCAGTGTGGTTGCACGTGTATAGAGTCACTCAGTGTGGTTGCACGTGTATAGAGTCACTCAGTGTGGTTGCACGTGTATAGAGTCACTTAGTGTGGTTGCACGTGTATAGAGTCACTCAGTGTGGTTGCACGTGTATAGAGTCACTCAGTGTGGTTGCACGTGTATAGAGTCACTCAGTGTGGTTGCACGTGTATAGAGTCACTCAGTGTGGTTGCACGTGTATAGAGTCACTCAGTGTGGTTGCACGTGTATAGAGTCACTCAGTGTGGTTGCACGTGTATAGAGTCACTTAGTGTGGTTGCACGTGTATAGAGTCACTCAGTGTGGTTGCACGTGTATAGAGTCACTCAGTGTGGTTGCACGTGTATAGAGTCACTCAGTGTGGTTGCACGTGTATAGAGTCACTCAGTGTGGTTGCACGTGTATAGAGTCACTCAGTGTGGTTGCACGTGTATAGAGTCACTCAGTGTGGTTGCACGTGTATAGAGTCACTTAGTGTGGTTGCACGTGTATAGAGTCACTCAGTGTGGTTGCACGTGTATAGAGTCACTCAGTGTGGTTGCACGTGTATAGAGTCACTCAGTGTGGTTGCACGTGTATAGAGTCACTCAGTGTGGTTGCACGTGTATAGAGTCACTTAGTGTGGTTGCACGTGTATAGAGTCACTCAGTGTGGTTGCACGTGTATAGAGTCACTCAGTGTGGTTGCACGTGTATAGAGTCACTCAGTGTGGTTGCACGTGTATAGAGTCACTTAGTGTGGTTTGACGTGTGACAAGAGCGGCTCGGCTCGGCGTTGTAGTTGCGGCTGCCTGCTGCTAGCACCCAGGGCTGACCCCCTCATCCCGCAGTTCACGCCCTGAGAATTCTCAAAAATGATTTCAACATGGCCACTATCGCATGGCTGTCGACCTGCTGGGGTTGGGTGTGTCACTCTGGTTCGACTGGTGTGTCTGGTTCGACTGGTGTGTCTGGTGTGTCTGGTGTGTCTGGTTGTGTGAAGAGCCTCTTACTTGCCCTTCCCCCGCCTTGTGCTTTCTTTCGCCCTTCATGCCTCCTTTTCATCTCGCCATCTCTGTTCTTCGCTCTCACACAACCCCCCCTTCCCTCCCTCCCTCCCTTCTCCCACCCCCCAATTTCCGACCCTCTTTTCCGTCACATGTGCCCCTCGTTTCTGTCACACGCGGTCTGCACAGGGCGCTCCAGTATGGCAGGAGAAGACAGAAGCAGGCAGCGGTGCGGGCCCAGAGGAGGGTGACTCAGGTGATTCCAGCGCTGACGGCTCGGCAGACGAGCCTGCAGTAGTTGCTGCAGGGCAGGAGGGCGAAGCAGTAGAGACGTCAGCAGCAGCAGCAGCAGCAGCAGCAGCATCAGTAGTGCCGGTGCGGCGGGGGCGCAGCATGGAGGAGGCGAAGGCGCTCATAGAGAGGAGCTTTGGGAACTACCTGGCGAGCGAGGTGAGTGGGAGTGCAGTGAAACATGATTGTCCATCCACCATGGGTGGGTCGGTGGCTGGGCGGCTGGGTGGGTGGCTGGGTGGCTGGGTGGAAACCACTCGTGGGTGGGTGGCTGGGTGGCTGGGTGGAAACCACTCGTGGGTGGGTGGCTGTGGGTGAGTGAGTGGGTGGCTGGGTGGCTGGGTGGCTGTGGGGTGTCAGCACAGAGTGGGTGGCTGGGTGGCTGTGGCTCTCTTTGGCAAGTAACTACCGGCCGTGGGTGTCTGGGTGAATGAGACTGTTTCCATGCATTGTATCCTATTATACACACACGGGTGACGTCATCGCATGCCGCCCCGCCCGCCCTGGCACATTCGAAATTCGGGCCAAAACGAAAAACCCGCGGAATCCCTCCGGGCCCCCGAAATTCCCCGGCTGACCAGGCAAAAAAAACCCGCAGAAACCCGCGGGTTCAATGTCGTATTCTTATGCCAATATATATGTCGGCCGTACTGTTGCAATTGATGGAGTTCGACGGGAGACAACTCGATATACCATAGTAGAATAAAAAAAGGTGTTTCGTAACACAAAATATCAGCCAAGTAAAGGCCCTAAAAATTAACTTACAATTGTAACTTTTTGTGCAGACATTTTGTTCTCGTCGTAAGGGGTATTTCCGTCGAAAATGTGTCAATTCTCGACGGAAGGGCGTTTATACTTCAGTTCTGCGATTTTCTGTCTTCGACAGAGCCCTAGTTGGCATTAAAAGGGTGTATCGCCTTCGACAACATTTCAAATTCGCGGCAGATTTTTTTCCTTCGACGAAAATTCAGATGTGATGTTCGACAAGAGGTGCTTCTGGGATGTTCGACAATACTTCGGGATCTTGCTAAACGTTTCGACGAAGCACATTAAAATACTTTGCCCTTACACTTTCATATTTTTGTCGAAACGGTACTCTATTACTTTCTGTCGAACAAGGGAAACTCATTCGATATGGTTCCGATTTCACACTCGGGAAAAAGGATTTACCGAGACGCTGTTCGATGAAATAAATTATTGACAGCAGAGGGCGTTTCTAGATTTTGGTTGTCAACATCTGCAATCGACGCGGAAATTGTCGAGCTGCGCTTTCTCCCCATTCGTCAAAAGGAAAGATTTCGACGGAAAGGCAAAACGGTCGAGACGTTTATAACACTCGACCAAGCATATCTACCGTCGCCTGCAACCCGTTTCATTTCTATTTGTAGCATCGAGACTCACAATCACATAACCAATCAACAATGTTCGAGTTTTACAATACGTTAATACACGTCGTGAACGCGTACAATCGACATAAGCAATGCTATTGTTGCACTAGAGTTTGACAACTGCATTTTCTTATCCCATCAAAAATACTAGATTGTTTTAAAGGTAGGAAACAGTTGCAAAAAAAAATCATTATATTCAACAAGCTCCAGCTTTCTAATTTCGTGTGGTTTTTACAATACCTGAAAAGGTCGGTACTTCACATATGGCAATTATTCGTCGCCAGACTGTCTTCAACAACACTTTGTTTTAAGTTGTATCAACGCAACATCTATCTCGACATCGGTGCGTTCTAACGCGTATGAAATTGCTAGTGCATTACGCGATCTGGTCGATGATGGGATCCAGTCGACGACGGGATCCTAGCGTAGGCTCTGCTCGACGGGATCCAGTCGACGACTTCGATGGGCATTGCTAGTGCACGATAGTGGTCGACGGGGCCCTTCGATGGGCACTGCTCGACGTGCGCTGCTCGACGAGCTGGTCTCGGCGAACGTTGTTCGACCAAGCAGTGTCGAGCCGGACGATGAAAGTTACTCGACTGCAATACCTGGCTTCTTAGCGAAAGTCGCCCAGGAGGTCTTAGAAAAGCCGACCTGCGGAACATCGTCACTTGCTCTATGGCGCGCGGGTAGTGAAATCGTCGACACATGTTCTACCTCGCATCTGCGATATATGTCTGGCGGTGCGAACGTCGACCTGCACCTCCTTCGTATACTACCGTATCATATTGTTGTTATTTGTTTTAATTCAGGCCTGAGTATTCAATGCAGTCGATAGCATAATCCAACGTCAATGGAGATGTTAGCAATTATTGAAACAACGATATGGATGGGAACATTTTTCTACAGTTCTGAAGGATGAATAATAATATTAAAGTTGGTGATAGAGCTATTAACAAGAATTTTAGGGATTGCCCTTGTTTCCCAGGGCCTCCAATTCCTTATCAAGTTTGCCCACTGCAGTTTATGTATTTATTCATTTTACGCTTACGTTTTTTTCCAGTTGCAGCTGTGCTCTGTATCGAACTGCTCTGTGGCGCGTTACAGCCGCACTTTCTCTGCAGCACTTTCCGTCGAGTTTAGACGGAATCCGTCGAGGGAGGCGGATTTCCTCGACGGACGTGGGGGAGCAGCTGGCGTCATCGCCAGCTCGTGCGGGGACCACTCCGAGCTGGCGGGGCTCGTTTCGGGCGGGCTGGGGGGTCGGCTCCCGCCCCTCGCGTGCTTCGCTAGGCGACGGCGGGAAAACGAAAATCCCTCCGGGAAAAACCCGCAGGGGCGAACGGGGTTTCCTGGAGGGATTCGGGCGAGGTCTTCCCATTTAATGCGTGATGCTACTTGTCATTTAAGCAGCCGCATCTCTTGATGCTGCCCCGCATCTCTTGATGCTGCCCCGCATCTCTTGATGCTGCCCCGCATCTCTTGATGCTGCCCCGCATCTCTTGATGCTGCCCCGCATCTCTTGATGCTGCCCCGCATCTCTTGATGCTGCCCCGCATCTCTTGATGCTGCCCCGCATCTCTTGATGCTGCCCCGCATCTCTTGATGCTGCCCCGCATCTCTTGATGCTGCCCCGCATCTTTTGATGCTGCCCCGCATCTTTTGATGCTGCCCCGCATCTTGTGATGCTGCCCCGCATCTCTTGATGATGCCCCGCATCTCTTGATGATGCCCCGCATCTCTTGATGCTGCCCCGCATCTCTTGATGCTGCCCCGCATCTCTTGATGCTGCCCCGCATCTCTTGATGCTGCCCCGCATCTCTTGATGCTGCCCCGCATCTTTTGATGCTGCCCCGCATCTTTTGATGCTGCCCCGCATCTTTTGATGCTGCCCCGCATCTTTTGATGCTGCCCCGCATCTCTTGATGCTGCCCCGCATCTCTTGATGCTGCCCGGCATCTCTTGATGCTGCCCCGCATCTCTTGATGCTGCCCAGCATCTCTTGATGCTGCCCCGCATCTCTTGATGCTGCCCCGCATCTCTTGATGCTGCCCCGCATCTCTTGATGCTGCCCCGCATCTCTTGATGCTGCCCCGCATCTCTTGATGCTGCCCCGCATCTCTTGATGCTGCCCCGCATCTCTTGATGCTGCCCCGCATCTCTTGATGCTGCCCCGCATCTCTTGATGCTGCCCCGCATCTCTTGATGCTGCCCCGCATCTCTTGATGCTGCCCCGCATCTCTTGATGCTGCCCCGCATCTCTTGATGCTGCCCCGCATCTCTTGATGCTGCCCCGCATCTCTTGATGCTGCCCCGCATCTCTTGATGCTGCCCCGCATCTCTTGATGCTGCCCCGCATCTCTTGATGCTGCCCCGCATCTCTTGATGCTGCCCCGCATCTCTTGATGCTGCCCCGCATCTCTTGATGCTGCCCCGCATCTCTTGATGCTGCCCCGCATCTCTTGATGCTGCCCCGCATCTCTTGATGCTGCCCCGCATCTCTTGATGCTGCCCCGCATCTTTTGATGCTGCCCCGCATCTCTTGATGCTGCCCCGCATCTTTTGATGCTGCCCCGCATCTCTTGATGCTGCCCCGCATCTCTTGATGCTGCCCCGCATCTCTTGATGCTGCCCCGCATCTTTTGATGCTGCCCCGCATCTTTTGATGCTGCCCCGCATCTCTTGATGCTGCCCCGCATCTCTTGATGCTGCCCCGCATCTCTTGATGCTGCCCCGCATCTCTTGATGCTGCCCCGCATCTCTTGATGCTGCCCCGCATCTTTTGATGCTGCCCCGCATCTCTTGATGCTGCCCCGCATCTTTTGATGCTGCCCCGCATCTTTTGATGCTGCCCCGCATCTTTTGATGCTGCCCCGCATCTTTTGATGCTGCCCCGCATCTTTTGATGCTGCCCCGCATCTTTTGATGCTGCCCCGCATCTTTTGATGCTGCCCCGCATCTTTTGATGCTGCCCCGCATCTCTTGATGCTGCCCCGCATCTCTTGATGCTGCCCCGCATCTCTTGATGCTGCCCCGCATCTCTTGATGCTGCCCCGCATCTCTTGATGCTGCCCCGCATCTTCTGATGCTGCCCCGCATCTTTTGATGCTGCCCCGCATCTTTTGATGCTGCCCCGCATCTTTTGATGCTGCCCCGCATCTCTTGATGCTGCCCCGCATCTCTTGATGCTGCCCCGCATCTCTTGATGCTGCCCCGCATCTTTTGATGCTGCCCCGCATCTCTTGATGCTGCCCCGCATCTCTTGATGCTGCCCCGCATCTTTTGATGCTGCCCCGCATCTCTTGATGCTGCCCCGCATCTCTTGATGCTGCCCCGCATCTCTTGATGCTGCCCCGCATCTCTTGATGCTGCCCCGCATCTCTTGATGCTGCCCCGCATCTCTTGATGCTGCCCCGCATCTCTTGATGCTGCCCCGCATCTCTTGATGCTGCCCCGCATCTCTTGATGCTGCCCCGCATCTCTTGATGCTGCCCCGCATCTTTTGATGCTGCCCCGCATCTTTTGATGCTGCCCCGCATCTCTTGATGCTGCCCCGCATCTCTTGATGCTGCCCCGCATCTCTTGATGCTGCCCCGCATCTCTTGATGCTGCCCCGCATCTCTTGATGCTGCCCCGCATCTCTTGATGCTGCCCCGCATCTTTTGATGCTGCCCCGCATCTTTTGATGCTGCCCCGCATCTTTTGATGCTGCCCCGCATCTCTTGATGCTGCCCCGCATCTCTTGATGCTGCCCCGCATCTCTTGATGCTG